AGTGCCATAAAACACAAACCTCGTCACATAAGACAACCACGTCTCTTCCTATAATAAACCAACAAATGACATTGGTTCCTATCATTATCTTCCTTATGAGAACCGCCTTGTCTTGAGGGTGGAATGTAGGAAATTGTGAAGCAATAAAATCATAGTCTTCCCAACTAGACTCTTCATAGGTCTGTTTTCCATTGGATTAATAGTTCTAGGAGTCAAGTACCCTTCACATTGTGCAAATGTAGGTCCAGAACCCTGGCAAGTTCCAAAAAATTTGATTAATTTGGTTCATTGCACTACTTTCTATTTTTCCAAAAAAATCGATTTAAACAGCACATAGATTTCAAAGTAAAATTATCATCTAATCTTCTTTTATGTCCTCCAAAATTTCAAAATTCCAACCACTTGAATCATTTAAAAAAATATTAATGCACAACCTTTCAACTACTAAATAAATTTGTTTGCCCGCACGTCTACACAAGACAAACTTATTCCAGTCACTGTTTGATTTTGAAATAATACACTATTTGGAAATAGAAAACAATATGGTTGATTATAAAATAAAATGATATGGCTAGTCTCTTTCTTTTCTTTTTTATAGAAATAGCTAGCATCGTTTAATAGTTGTGGCATCTTTTAATTACATCATGTCAATCATGAAACATTAAGGCGTCTAATTTTGAGTCCAACTTTGCTGAACATCTCTATGAATTCAACTAATTAGACAAAATAAGTTTGATTAGAATAGTTTTGAATATGTTATTTTTTAAATCATTAAAATATCAGTTTTAATAATTTAAAAATTGTAATTACTATACTTTGAAATAAATTATAATTACTTTATACTTTGAAATAGTTTTTTTGAACGCATGCTTTTTGATTTTTGATTTTTCTTAAAAAAATAATTTTTTAAAAAATATTTTCAATTGTCAAAATCATTTCAATGAATTATTCTGTGCGAGAAAAAAACGACAAAGAAAATTAAATTTGCTTTGAATAATTAATGCCTTATTTATTTCCCTCTCCCTTTAAAGAATGAAGACTAAAGTATTATGGTTTGGCTTTTTTTTTATTTTTTATTTTTGGCAAATGAAGCGTCGAGTCCTTCCATAGTCAGGGTCCGAGGGTTCCAGAACCCAGAACCCTCACGAGAGCTTCGGCGAGGGAAGAGAGAAGCCATGAATGCCCCGGATCGTTACGAGCGTTTCGTCGTCCCTGAAGGCACCAAAAAGTAATTTCATTTTCTAGTTGTTCTCACTATTGTTCATCTAATTTGATCATTTTCCCTTTGTTTATATATTATTCAGGGTCTCTTACGAGCGGGGACACCAAGATCATCAACGCTGCATCCTTTACTGTTGAGAGAGAGGGACCATACAATAGGAAACATTCTTCGCATGTATTAGTTCTATTTCTTCCAGCTATATTCTCCGTGTTTTTTTTCTATTGCTTTCTGTTAATGTTCATCGATATAAACCCTACCCTTGTTTGTATTTTTGTTGTGATTAGGCAGCTGCACAGAGACCCTAATGTGTTGTTTGCTGGATACAAGCTCCTCACTCACCCTCTTCAGTACAAAATCATTGTCAGGGTCGGTATTTCTTGCATTGGTTTTGTTGTAAATGAATGGCTGTTTGATGTCTGTGTTTGCATTTTTTTTCCAATGCATGACTAGCATTTGTGGACAGTGCAAAATGTTTGTTAATTGAGCTCAAATGCAATGTCAATTGAATTTAATCTTGCTCCTGGAGATATGGTAAACGTTAGCCTTTGTTCTGGGAAGTTTAAAAATTCATTTCTCTGTAATTGAATCAAGACATTATTAAAATTAATTGTTTTATTGTCTTATTTTCAGATCCACACCACTAGTCAATCTTCGCCAATGCAGGCATATAATCAGGTATTAACGATCTGGATAGGGAACTTGATCATTTGAAGAATGCCTTGAGGTGCGTTTTCTGTCATTGTGCTGTTAACCACGAATCTAAGTTCAATGTCTTCGTTGATGTTTGTTTTTATTTGATCTCAGGGATGATGTTAGTTGCAAAGTAGAGTTCATTACTTGCGTACACTGAACATAAATCATCGGGCGTCAATAGGCTAGGCTTCTTTTCATGGATTTCTTTCCTGTATTTGTTCTTCCCTTATTTAGAGATTGTTGATCGAGATTGTCTGCTCACTTGAACTTATGGAGCAACTGTTGATCAAGTGAGATTCAACCTTCAAAACTCGTTCTGCAGCTGGATGAAGCTTAACTCCTAGGCACCGCTTCAGCATGTCCCTGCTTCATACGGTTGTTAGCTTTCTATTATAAGAAACATACTAGGTCTTGCGTGTTTGTCTGCTTTTCTGTGGTGGTTTGTATTTTTCCATTATGAACACATTAAAATAAGCTTGCGGACTAAATCTTTGTAGGGGCTTGCATGTGAACTTCCTTTTGAAAGAAATCTTGCCTGATTAATCAATGCTGCCCTAAATAATCACGAGTGATTCTCCTGCTTTTATGTTGTTCTTTTGAACTGTGTACCGACTATGTCATGATGGCGTTTTTAATGAATAACGATCATTTCAACTTTCAAGCTGAGACATGACATGTATTTTTACAGAAACTGTGGCAGGTTTTGTAATCATACTTGAATGAACCATGAACAAAATGAGTACCATCGCCGGATCGTTACGAGCGTTTCGTCGTCCCTGAAGGCACCAAAAAGTAATTTCATTTTCTAGTTGTTCTCACTATTGTTCATCTAATTTGATCATTTTCCCTTTTGTTATGTTCAGGGTCTCTTACGAGCGGGACACCAAGATCATCAACGCTGCATCCTTTACTGTTGAGAGAGAGGACCATACAATAGGAAACATCTTCGCATGTATTAGTTCTATTTTCTCAGCTATATTCTCCATGTTTCTTTTTCTATTGCTTTCTGTTAATGTTCATCGATATAAACCCTAACCCTTGTTTGTATTTTTGTTGTGATTAGGCAGCTGCACAGGACCCTAATGTGTTGTTTGCTGGATACAAGCTTCCTCACCCTCTTCAGTACAAAATCATTGTCAGGGTCGGTATTTCTTGCATTGGTTTTGTTGTAAATGAATGGCTGTTGATGTCTGTGTTTGCATTTTTTTTCCAATGCATGATTAGCATTTGTGGACAGTGCAAAATGTTTTGTAATTGAGCTCAAATGCAATGTCAATTGAATTTAATCTTTGCTCCTGGAGATATGGTAACGTTAGCCTTTGTTCTGGGAAGTTTAAAAATTCATTTCTCTGTAATTGAATCAAGACATTATTAAAATTAATTGTTTTATTGTCTTATTTTCAGATCCACACCACTAGTCAATCTTCGCCAATGCAGGCATATAATCAGGGTATTAACGATCTGGATAGGGAACTTGATCATTTGAAGAATGCCTTTGAGGTGCGTTTTCTGTCATTGTGCTGTTAACCACGAATCTAAGTTCAATGTCTTCGTTGATGTTTGTTTTTATTTGATCTCAGGGATGATGTTAGTTGCAAAGTAGAGTTCATTACTTGCGTACACTGAACATAAATCATCGGGCGTCAATAGGCTAGGCTTCTTTTCATGGATTTCTTTCCTGTATTTGTTCTTCCCTTATTTAGAGATTTTTGATCGAGCATTGTCTGCTCACTTGTACTTATGGAGCAACTGTTGATCAAGTGAGATTCACCTTCAAACTCGTTCTGCAGCGTGGATGAAGCTTAACTCCTAGGCACCGCTTCAGCATGTCCTGCTGGGAAGACAAGTTCAGAAAGGTGCCCATACACCACCGTCAAATCACACTCACGGACTTGGACTCTACATCTACTTGCTCGTCCCATGTCTATGGCTAGGGTATGTCAAGTTTAAAACAACGAAAAGATGAAGAGGAAGAACATGATTTTGGGTGAGTGGAAGATTTGGTTGTGGCGTGTAAGCAACTGGCAGACCAACCACCCGCAAAAACATGGGTCCTCTGTAATTCCACAAGGAGTATCAAGTCCTGTCCATTGAAAAAACTTGCCACACAAAATTTGCCAAAAAGCCCCTTTACATTTGCTACTGTATCACTATTTTTTTAATACATGGTCATAGAAAGAGAATTGTGCAAAAATACAAAAGTCAAGACACGTTAGATTCTAAGAGGCAAATGTTGGAAAATGATCCTTTAATCTTTCACTGCAAACTCCATGATTTTCTTATTAGTTTTCAACAGAGAATTATTTGTTAGAGAAGTTATGTTGGAAGAGTGAAAGAGTTCCTATAAAATTAGTGTTGATATTATTTTTTGTGAATTTTGCATTACAATGAAGATTAAGACCTTTTAAGATATCCAAGAGTTCAGCTGGAATATTAGGATGATGGTCAATATATTTTGAGAATCCCGTATAGTTATGCTATTGTGTCACTATTAGATGTATCAATATGAGCAATACTTTCATGTCACACCAGCACCAGCCTTCAATTTTAATGCATTATGTATACATGAATAATTGAAAATGATGATCAGCAAACAGTAAATAATAAAGAAAATGACAAATATGAATATGGATTGTGGAAACAGAAGTGGCATGTGATGTATCAAGTGCCAACAGAAAGCGAGGCCTTACTTGAGAGGCGCAGAGGCGTTCATCCATCGGCATCCCTGAATAAGCTAATAGCCTCAAATGATTATCTTTTTTTTTTTAACTTGAATAAATGATTATCTATTGAATGCTATACGAGGAGATGCATTTATTATGTCTCTTACGCTGTTCCTTCAAATTACCAAAGAAGAAATTTTTATGAATGAATTGCCAGCCATTTCGAGTTACTTGAAGAGAGAACTGAATTTTCAGGGGGCAAATGCCCAAAAGGCCGTGACTTGGTTCTCGCCTTCTCGGTGATTTGCTTGGAAAAAAAAAAAAAAAACCTCGAGAGATTTGGCATGTTGGGATAGGGCTTTACCTAATAAAGTGTAAAAATGAATGTGTGACAGCTCATAAAGTCCTCGTCCCCATTCGCCGCCTGTGAACTTCGTTATATGTTTTGGTTTTTCTCTTCCATTTTCATATATCATAGCGGCGTGTCCCGCCTTGTTTTCCTATGGAGTACGACTTGGGAGTTTTGGAGGCTCATCAAACGAGGCTGGGTTGGTGAAGAAAGGCACTCCATCTTCCTTCCCCTTTGTTTCAACCTTTTTGCGGTCCATGTTTCTCAATCAGTAGGGAAATTATATAAAAGGGTAAAAACGGTAGTCACTTTTATGCATAATGGAGGTGGCATTCAATCTCTGACTCCTTCCAGGGACACCCTTCAGAATTTCAGCTTCACTGCCTTCTGCACTGCCACATATCTGCCCTTTCCTCTCTCATTCACAAAGATAGCCACATTGTTCTTGTCTACTTGCTTACACTTGCCTTTTGTCAAGGTTTTAGTATCGATTTAGTTATTTACATTCAAAACGATTGCATCCGCTCTCTTCTTCTTCTGCAGTCTATCTCTGAGAAGATGGGCAGCTCTCAAGTCTGCTTCTGCTGGCACAAATACAGACACTTGATCCTATACTTGCTCATTCTCTTTGCTCCATCTTCAATCTTCACTCATGATGCCTTTATGGCTGAAGGTTATTTACTTGTTATCGCTTCCCTACTTTTCCGGTTTTTAATTTCAGTATCACAACTCGGCTAATTTTCATGCATACATGTCTGCAGGGAGACCCATTTCAGGTGTAATTAAGCCTAACAAGGTAAGGAAGGGTGTCATACAGTGAATCCCTCATTTTTGGCTTCTTGTGCTGTAACTTTGTCTCAGTGTCTTAGTAATTTACGTGGGGATGTTATATGTATGCAGAAGGGCATGAAAGTGCAGGGAGTAGCCATTTCTCGAAATGCTAAGATAGGGTCAAGGCCTCCAAGGTGTGAAAGAAGGTGTAGGATCTGTGGACATTGTGAAGCTGTACAGGTCCCAGTTATACCTCAAGTCCAAGGCCATACAAGCCATACTGCTGTTATAGGAACTCCCATTATTGCATTCTCCAGGACCGATGATCTTTCCAACTACAAACCCATGAGTTGGAAGTGCAAGTGTGGGGACTACTTTTTCAATCCATGAGTGGAAATGGAAAGACCAGATTCTATTTTGAAATTTAAATTGTATTAACTTTAATCACATACTCCTCTCTCTCCTTTAACCATATTGAGATTTGGCATGTAATGTACATTTTCTTTTTGGCTTGTTTCCTCTCCGTTTTACTTTTGTATAACAGAATTCACAAGCATCTTATGATCTGGTTATTCTATTATTTTGTTCTTTATTTACTGCAATTTCAACTTGAAATGAAGAGCACAGCACCCAGGACTTCTCTGCTTGATTATCGTCAACTTACGCCTTGCCCATTCTGACTTCTGAGGGGCATATATGATAACTACGAGATGTTCAATGTTCACTAGTGATTTTTCTTTCTTTCATTTAGTAAGATATTGGGATCAATGACAAGATAAAAGAAGGGGAAAAGTTTGCAGAAGTGCGTCAGACAGTTCTGTTTTCGTATGGTACAAGATACATGCATCAGAAAGGCTGACCCATATAGTTCACCTCGAAGAGATATACAAAAGCGACGATGGCATACGTATATAATGATCTCATTAATAGTTTTCACGAATTTTCCCATTTCCCACTTTCAGTTAACCACCCCATCAGACTAAAAGATTTGAGCGGTGCGAATTCACAAGCACCTGTTACGCATGGCCTGATTGTATCTAAAATGAGAGTTTAATGAGAAACAACCTTTATCATCGCATTTTAAGGAAATTCAAAGAAACGCATTTTTTGGAGTTTAGGTTCAGTCCAGGTCTTGACCTTCGCGCAGTTTACAAGGGGACCAGTCATGAAGAAGGTCGAGAATGCGCCAAGTGAAATGGGTTAGTTTCATTTTCAATTCATCAGTTTCGGTGGGAAATCTGGAACGCATTTAATGCGGCTATTCAACAATCACTTTACTGAAATATGAGAAAATTATAAAATTTTTTTGACTTTATGTGAAAATTTAATAAAATTTTACTATTATCACTATTAAATATAAATACTTTAACAATATAAGGTAATTTTGAACGAAAGAAAAAAGGTTGACGTCTCTTTGACAAATAAGATCCAGACTATGGTTAATGAAAAACAACGTTCCTGCAATCACGAAGAAAGCTATCTATAGGATTAGGCTCTGATTTTTTCTTCATCATTGTCGTCACTTTCTTTCTTGAAGCTGTTCTGAATTCCCATGACGCGTGGCCATGTCTACATCTGTGTTCAATAAATATGATGGGATTTTCTAGGAAAGGTCATCTTCAAAGCAAAATCTCTCAACTCAGCATGGCTGTACTTTGTATTATGAAAATTAAGGAGATTAACTAACCATGCGGCAGGTCGTTTCGAGAGGAAGCGTGACGTTTTGTTTTTGTTTTTGTTTTTCGGAATGAAATGAGGAATTATCATTAACCCAACAGGAAACTATACTATACACGAAAACGAAAGCGAAGAAAAATAACAGACTTTACATCAAAGTTCTAGGAGTAGAAAATGAGTTTGAAGTATGGTTAACCGTGACTCTAATCTGCGAAAGAACAGTATCAACAACGAATATTTACTCAAAAAAAGGCAGCTATTTCTAACATCCCATAACTTCCAAGTGATGCTTATCCCAATCTTTCATGAGATGTTCAGCATTGTTCAGAGCCACATAGTTTTATCTACATTTGTGATAATGTCGTGATGAATGTACGAGACGTCAGTGACGTGATGGGCAGCCGATGAAGGAAGAAAAATGGTAATTGGTAGTTAATTAGATACTTCTGCATGTCAATTTTAAGAATATACTCTTCCTGTCCCTATTAAAAGATTTTTTGTTAACACTAGATAGAATATTGATTAGACGGTTCAAAAAAGAAAAAGATATGAGTATTAAATACAATTTTTTAGTATTATGACTTTTTAAACTCATTAATTATGATGGGAAAAATTGATCCAACGTACCATGTCATCTTTAATCTTTTCAATAAAAATATAATATTTATATAACATTACATACAAATTGATTCTTATAAAAAAATTAAATAGATATTTTATTACAAAAATAAAATCATTAAAAATAATAACATATAAGATTTATTTGATTGGGTTGATGCAGTATTATTGAATAGAGCATTGATGACCTGGTGTACTAAGTTCATGCAAGAATTTTGCTATAAAAGACAATCTAATGTAAATAATTTTTTTTTCTTGCTTAAATAGGAGCACAATTGAAAATTTATTTCATTTTTAAATAAAGTAAATAATTTAACTATCATTTTTACTTTCAAAGATAGATAGGGATGTCTTATAATAAAGATAGTTTTTGAAAAAAACGTCCTTAATTAGGAGGGTAACTAATTAAATTTTTAATTAAGACAGCTTTATTAAATAAGGATAATTTTAAATGTCATAACTAACTTATTAAAAAACTTAAATAAGTTAAATATACCTTATAGGAGTAGTTCTGAATGGAGTTCACGTTCATGAGCTCGTGGAAGTAATTAATATCTCCAATTGAAGAGTACAAAAGGGGAAATCAAAGGAATTATAATTCAAAAGAAAATTGGGAAGCTCCACAGATTTGGTTTTCTGAATCAGTCTGATTGGGAAGGGTTAATTGCAGAAGTTTCAGATGTCGATACCAATACAAGATGCAAAGCGATGACCTGACAAACAAGAGGACGGCAATAAATATGATAATCTTTCTACCAACTCAGCGGCCGACGCGGCGGAGCCAATTCAATGCCCTTGAGGCCTTAACCAACTCTCCCTCAACTAAAGCGACGTCGTTAGTACCCGGCTCAGCCTCTATGACTCAAAAGCCTAATAGAACAATCCAGCTCCAGCACGCACTCACTCACTCGCATACATGAATGACTGGCCTGTGAGTCCGTGACCTCCATGTCATTCTTGACCTTTCGCTATCTTCTCTCTTTCCATTTCTCTCTCTTCTTTCAGATTGTGGATTTTCCACTTTTGCTCTGCAAACCGCCACTGAGCAGCCACCAACACTGCCTCGCCTCTCTACGTCCTAGCTTCTCGCATTACCTTCCTCCATCCTCTCACTACTCTTTGCATTTTCTACCCAATCTAGCACCACAGCTTTCTTGAAGGTCTGTATCTCGTTCATCTGCTTCTATCTTCTTGCATAAGATATGGTTTCCCACTGGTTTCACACAACTTTTGCGTCTATTACTATTTATGTTCTGTCTGACCGTCGTTAAGTTGCCTGCATATTTTGGCTTTGGACCATAAGTTCTTCAAGTTGGAAGAAGTATGTATGGATCTTTCAACAGGGAATTTTTCTTGGTTTCTGTTTTCTCTATACTGGAATTGAGCTTGGGGATATTTGATTTGTCTGGCGGGACTTTGGTTCTCTGTCATTTTTGGATACAATTGGTGCATACAGTGAAATACAAGATTTCTGTGGTATCAATTGCATCTGCATTTTTTTCTCTTTCTTGCTTCACCTCTAACTTTGGGAAATTTACAATGGCTACCTTTTTGGGAGTGATTGACACGTGGTCCATATACATATATAAAATTTTTGTTCCATCAATTTTGGATATTTTACTCGTTCTTATAGTATTTGCTGCGCTGATAAACTACAGAAGTTACGTACCAATGATCCTTGCCAGGATTTTATCCTCCGAGAAAGGTGCAGCCCAAAAAAAAACCCAATTCCTTGTTCAAAGTTCATGCACACTGTTAAAATTTGGCCCCCCCAAAAAAAAAACCCTGTTAAAACATGACAAAATACAGAAGAAGAAAGAATTATTTTTTTGGTCGTCTTGAACGAGAAACTTTCTAATTTTAATGTCTATGGTGGATTGTCTCAGCCATGATATGACCTGATATTCTTGTCTTGGGTTTACTGAATGCTTAATTTTGCTACAAATGTAGACTTTGGCTTCAATCTGCAGAAGACTTTGCCTTACTTTATTGCTGATCTTTCTTAAATAGATTCCACTACCCTTTGCCGGCCAAAGTTGGAAGAGAATTTTATGTGTAAACCATGTTGAAGCAATTGACCGGCAGAAACCAGAGAACCAAAGGCTTCAAGGTAAAGAATAGTCTTCAGATATTTGTTTTGGTTGCTGGTTGCCTCTGGTTGCTTTATCAGTTGAAATACTCTTATGATAAAAAGAGCGAGTATGAGCAAAACCCTAGAACGACACTTGAAAAGCTGCAGTTCCAGCATGAAAACCCAAAGCTTGGAAGAAAAGGCTTTCAGCTATGGATAAAGAAGCCAGAAGATTTGATAGATGATGCAGAAGAGATGAAGCCTGAAAAAATCAAGGTCAGAAGAGGCGGCCGGTATGATGAAATGAATGGACATGATCAATATAAAATGGAAGAGGAAGATTCTGAGGAAGTAGAAGACCTGATCGATGAAGAAGACAAGGAGACGATAGAGGAAACTGAAGAGGAAGAGGACGAGGATATGGGACAAAACATTGGGGATATTAGCTCATTGAAAGATAAAAGCCACGATGAGGGTGAAAAATACGGAGACAAGGAAAATAAAAATGGTGCATCCAGGGTTATGATGAGGAAAACACAAAGCACAGGTGCTGAATTTGAATTTAGAGGTTTAGAAAGTTCGGAAAAGGCTCGAATAATAAAGCAACAGAACAAAATCACGGCCGCCAGCAAAGGTCTTGTACCAAGAACTGAGTCAATTCCTAAAATCGTAGACAAAGTGAAAGCTGAATATGGTTCTTTCCAAACTGTGCTTGCCAGAAGAAAAGATCACATGCTTGATTTTTCTGATTCAGAAGCTGGGTCCAGTTCTGATTCATTGCTTAAAATGGAAACGATTAAACCCAGAGCATACCATAATTTAGCACGAATATCGATTGAAGCTATTGGTTCTTTACAAGGAGCAAATGCTGATGAAAATGAGAAGGCAAGTGATCGTGGAATTGGTGAAGAAGTTAGTTTGAAAAGAGCTCGAAGCCTATAGTAAAAGGGGAAAAAGTCATCTTATCGTTGAAAAAGAAGTTGATGGCTTTTGAACTAGTTGGAAATCGCAGATTGTTTTGCAATGTTGGAACAATGTTTTCATACTCTCTCTCCCCAGCTACATATCTATTGCACAGCAAGCCTATAGGTTTAGACGACAAGGCACGGTGAAGTTGCCGTCAATGAATAATGTGTTCGAAAAAGTGGTAGTGCTGGAAAAAACAAGCACAAGCATCTTTCTACAAAGTTCTAACTTTTGGCTAAACTGCTTTTTGAGCATATCAAAGGTAGTTCCAACCCAACCACGCTGCAAGTAGTTGCTTTCAGAATAAGATCTTGGTACCATGGTGTTGAATGTTAGTGAAACATTTTCCTTTTATCTTGTGGCCGAGGAATAATGTTTTGCTTTGGCTCCCACCCTCCCCACCTTGTTTTGTTGGATATTTTGCTTGTTACCCACGCATATTGTACAAATGTACAATTTACATGCTCTGGCAAAATAGTGAGGCTTTTTATTAATCTTGTAATGGCTGCTCAAAATAGTGGCAAGTGCCGAGTTACCTTTGTTAACCAATTGCATATTGTTCGTGGTGGCAATAAAAACTAGTTATAGTGATGCTAATTTTACCAACATGTGACAACATATAGTTAAAAATTAAGAACATTACACAAGCAGTTAAATCTAACATTTCACGAGACATACACGAAAGAATCAGAATGTTCAACTTTGGGAGTGTGGTTGAGTTGGCCATGGGGAGCATCGATTGTAATTTCAATGCTCTTGCGAAGATTTTGTCAATAGACAGATACATGTACGGTTGGTTTGGATGAGGGGAAAAAAAAAGAGAGGAGGGAAATTTAAAGAAAAAATTCTTAAAAATAGTAAAAAAAAAAAAACTTTGAATCCTTATATTTTTTTGATTTTTATTATAGGTCTGTGTTTTTTTTTTAGGTTGTTAAACTTTTATTTTTTAGTATTTTAAATTCATTTTAAGTTTGTACATTTTTGCTGTGGGTGTCATTATTTTCTTCCCACTATTACGGGTACCCGAATCAAGCCATAAGATCCAGGTTGCCTCCATCAGAGGGGAGAAAGTGAAAGCCACTGTGCGAAGTACCCATACTGTCGACAAAACTTGGAAGAACCACGAAAGGAGGGGTTCATTCTGTGGTCCTTGGGCCCATTGTTGTAATTTGAAGGACTTCTGTTAGGGCCTTGACGCTCATAAGGATACCCAATAGTAGTCTTCTTGAGTTCGACTATTAACAAAGGCAATTCCTCTACTTCATTAGCTCTGCTTCGACCTCCCATTAGCTTTGGAGGCCCTGCGCTTTCTATTCGTCTCTTTTATGAGTGCTTTTGTTTTCGTACAAGTTCTATTTTTTTTTTTAAATGGCGGTGGAGATAAATAATAGCATACTTCTGTAGAGGACAAAGATCCAAGCCTAGTTCAAAAATAAATTCGAGTTGAAGCTTTAAAGGAGTTCACAGACGTGTGATCGTCGTTCTTGAGTAGAGATTTATTTTTTAAATAATACACGTTAATTGCACGTCATTTAAGCATCACTCAAATGAATAGATAAATAATAGCATACTTTAGCCCCCAAAAAATGGCAGATACTACATTTTTTGATGGCATGAAAAAAAGTGTGATGAGTTGACTTTAGACATATCCCATCCATTTAACGTGAAGGAACTCACCGACTTGGGCCGGAAAACAAAATAAAAAAACAAGAAGAAGAACGAATGCACAGCAAGGGGTGAAAAAAGGTCAACTATAATAGCAATCCATCAGTTTAGTTAATATAAGCACTTTTAGTAAAAATGCTGAATACAGAAATAGAAATTGAAACTCACCAGGGTAAATTGTTGCTCTCCTACCACTTTTCCCATTTGAATTCGTTCTCAAGGTATCATTTGAAACGAGAAAGTAAGATCGAGGCACGGTTGGACTCAAACGTGACTTAATCAATAATATCGAATGTTACCGAAAAAACAAAGGCAATAGATAATTATGAGATTCTTTCTCAACCTTGAACATTGAATCTTTCTCTGGTTTTAAAATAATAAAGACAGCAGCAACACAATATTAATGAACTCATCCGTCATGTAAATCAGGGTCAATATGTTGATAAGACAGCTACTATTTGGCAACAGAACATGGATGGAGAACAAGAAAAGCCTAATACGTAAAATCACACGCAACGATAGGTGATTGAGATTTGAGAGCCGCGTTTCTTGTTTCTGACATTGTCCTACCTGGAATATCTTTTAAACGTTCTAGCTGCAAAACTTTGGAAGCTTACTGAGATCACAAGTCACGTACATAAAACATAAACAAGAATATATGCTCTACCAAAATCTTCTGCTGTCCCAAAAAAGATAGAGAGGATGTTACTTGCTAATCCTGTTTAGGAGAGCTTCGATTCCACTGCAGTAGCATCCATACTATAGATGTTCCTAGTAGTAAAAATGGAACTTAGATTAGAAACTTACAGAGTTTCAGTGACAGGTAAACAGTCCTGACATCAGCGAAGAATATCACACCAGGCTTTAAGGTTACTCCAAAACATTAAATAGAAAGGAAAATATACAGCATATATCATGTTTCAAAACTCTGTGTTTCAAAACATTAAATAGAAAGGAAAATATACAGCATATATCTTGTTGTTTCAAAACTCTGTGTTTCCATTTTATCTCTTATTTCTTGGTAGTTAAACTTCTTCAAGAGGGGGTCAAAAGAAAAGAACATAACATACTACAAGACCACCTACTTGATGTACTTGAGCATGGCACAGAAAAGATCTTTCAATGGAAAGCAACTTAGTGATGAGATCATAAATTCATGTTTCGCTTCAGTTCACACACAAATTTGATTTGAACATAAAGAAAATATTATTGTAGTGCATGCAATGTTGCATGCAACGAAAGAGAAAACGTCCATACCAGCAAAGATGCCAACAGTAGTCAGGTTGGAAATTGCCATCGTATGATAAATCATGTATTCAGTCAAGAAATGACCAAATGCATAGATGAATGACAAGAAAGTAGCCAGATAAATAGGTTTATTTTCGAGGTTGAATGCACAAAGATAGCAAAGAGTGCAGGTCAATAGTGTCCAAATTCCAAAGGTGCGCCCATGAACTTCAGTCACTACACAACAATTAATTACAGTTATTAGTCTAATTTTGGCATTAGCAGGATACAGTTCAAAAACTTAGTTAATATGAGAGCATTAAAACAACAGTGATCCAAAGGGTTGAATATCATAAACTCTGATAGTCCAAAACAGTTTCAGTTGTCATCAAAAGATGTTTACGGACAACATAGTTATATCATTTCCAAATGATGCGAACAAAGCCTGCTTGCCAGGCATGAAAGACGGGTACTTATTTTGTTTTAGTTCAGCCTCCTCGCATTTTTTCTCTTTTAGGTACACAGCCTTCTCATATATTTTTTGCTTAACAATTATTGCATAAGCAAGTGTTGCTTCGTACAAGAAGGAGTTACCAAAGATAAAAGGGATTCAATCACTTCATCTGTACTGGAGACATCATGATCAGATTTCAAAAGAATCAAGACAGCGAATGAAAGGATATCAACTTCAACAATATTTAGCTACCAAACAGGCTTCATAGCAGCAAGTTGAAAAAGTGCTACACTATATAATATTATTTGGATATGAGAGTTGAATGTGGTTATAACATAGGGATCTACTAGAGGTCATGGAAGCAGAAAACACGTAGGAGACAAGGATAGCAGCTTTGCGTTGACCAAGGAGTCTCTATACATGCAACACCAAAATATTTGCTTTCTCTCTATAATCTCTCACTGTTTACCCACTGGAGCCATTGTTTTCTCTAAAGAAAAATAAGAGGTCTCTGTCTCATTAACCACTCGATTAAACCAGATTCCTTCTTGGTCAGCTACTTTGACCCAATGCAGGTTGGTCATTGAGACTGATAGATTCAATGCTTACAACCTTTCTATTCAACCAAAGAAGATATCAAAATGAATCTTCAAGCAATTCCATAATTTTTAGATCATCACGCTTCATCATATGCATTATACGTTACATTAAAAAAAAAAAAATTACAAACTCACTTCGCCCAGGATTCCTTTGTTTCAGGATTAAATATAAATGTTAATAATTTTCTAGCAGCAGCTGTATAATAGAAAACCTTTTTGAACGACATAGTAACCGGTCGTGACGAATATTTCAACATCAAATCAATCCCAGCAATTCAAGAAGCAAATCAATGAAGATGAAAAAGGTTATTTAAAAACCGTCATTTGAAACATTTTGAAACTCAAGCAGGAATTCTACGCTCGAATATCTAGATGACGTGGAAACTACTCAGAAAACAGGCCTGTTTGCTAGTAAAAGGCAATAGTCGGTACATGGATATTGCCTTGTAAGATTCAAAAACGTAAAATATCTTCTTCATTGGGATCCAGAATATTTCGTACATTGGATCTCTCCAGAGGTTTTGACTCAGGATTGAATCTTTGAGCTCCAAATCAAACACAACCCCTGTTTCAGATGATGAAGCAACAGTTTGTCACCCCTCCAGCTACCCAAAACAAGCCCAATGCCATAACCCGACAGTATCCACACTCGACGCTTGAGGGAATTTTCATTAATAATAGTGGCTGTTCTTGAAAAGTGAAAATGATAAATTCCTCCAACTCATAATGACAATAAAGAATTTCCATTATTTGCAATTGAGTAGAAATATTTAAAGGGAAAAAAAGGGTAAAGATAAGGGAGACGATGTAAAGAAGGAAAAGGAAACAAGAAAGAAAGAAGAGGAGATAGGAATTACTGGCAGTGTTAGAGAAGACGGCGAGTCGAAGAGCCCAAATGTCGAAGAAACCAAACCAAACGGAGGCTAAGCGAAGCGTGCCTACCAGCATCAGCCACCATCCCAGCGCCTTCATTTTCTGTGCCCTTTCCTTCGGTCACCGATCCACAAGTGGCTTTGCACTCAACTGTAGTGTTCCGTCTCTTTCCACTTCATAGTTCACAATCCGGCGAATAATGTGCGGTCGGGTCGGATATGGGACAGCTCCATTATAATTCGGGTTAAGTACAGCCTGATACGTGCATGTAAATCATCGATATAAAAATAAAATTGACGGTAAAAAATATAAAATTTAAAACCGCGTATATTATTTGTATTTTTTATTACATTTATTTATTTTTGAATAAGTTGCGCATTTTATCCATTCTATCTGCAATTGGGTGGATGAAGGGGCATCATATCATATTATCTAATAATTTGTTCAATTTTATTTTATGTTGAACTGTCAGGTGTACTGATCATGATATTATTGGTATAAATCAAGTTTGACAGCATTAAAATGACTTCCTACCTAGTTCATCTTTCATTGTTAGAGTTATTTTAAGTTTAGAATGCATTTATCCCAACATTAAAGTGCTTGTTTGGATTTCAGTTAGGTATAATAGATTATAAAAATAATTAATTAAGTGATAGATTTTAATTATAATTAATTATGTTATAACGCAATCATACTGTTTTTCTAAAATTAATTTTAATAGAATTAAAGATATTTGAATAATTTAATCAAAATTAATTTTTAACTATATAAATTACCACATAATTTAATTTTTAAATATCAAATATTAATTTTTTGAAGATATAAAGTTTAAATTTTATTAAGAAAAAAAAAGAAGATAGTTTGATTTTATTTTTATTAAATTATGTGTTTTTTTTTTTGTAATTTTTGCTTGGGCCTGCCTTTATAATTTTCTCCAATATTTTGGACAAGTTTGACAAGAAAACAGATGGAAGTAGCTTACTAAGAAACTTGCGCATGGGCTAAGAATCGATTTTCATGCTTTTCTGACTGTTTGGATAATTTGTTAGAAAAATTAATTTTGGGGTCCAAAACGTACTTTTTTTCTTATCCAAGCAGACACAAAGTTAATATTGAGTTATAGTTTATTTGTTGGTTAAAACAAAACCACAATTATATCAAGGTAAACTGTTTTTTTTTTTAAATGATGCTACTTGTAATGCCAGCCTCTCATAAAAAAAAAAAAATAGAACACACGATTTCTTGTTTGGTGCTTTAGCCAATATATATATAGTTATATACGTGCGCGCGCGCGCTTCTCATGAAATAATATAGGAAAAAATATAACTCCAATTTTTATATTTTAACCGTGTTATGTTTTTAATCTTGCAGTTTAATTAGACAATTTTATAATTTTTTTCAAGTCAATTTTTTTCTGGTCCCTCTAGATATTTCTTTTAAAGCTAATGGTTGGGAGATGTGCTAACATGTCTAATGATACTTCAAACAAAATTACTTTTAATAAGAAGATATTTGTAGATGATAAAAAGATGGAAGAATTTAATTTTTAAATAAAATAAATAAAAATATAAATTTTAGGAATGAATTAGAGGAACTAAAAATAAAATAAGACTGTACAAAGTAAAAACCTAAAGTGGTGTTAATAGCCTTGTAATTCAGTAGCAGCACGTAAGATTTTCTATGATTAAAAGATCATAGGTTGAATCTCACTTATAATCTTATGCAATTAATGGCTAACCTTTTAAATTAAGAAAAGAAGTTAAAAAGGAAATGAAAATAAAATTTTTCTAAAATATATAAATAATAATTTGATCCTTCAAAATGTTAAAATTTTTTTAAAGTTTTTTAAATACTTTTCTATCATTAATAAATTTATATAAATTATTAAATTACTCTTATTAAAAATAAATGATTTGTAATTATTTTTTTTATATCCATAACTTTTTTTTTCTTTTATTGTCATTTTTCTAAAAAGGCATTATGCGAATAAGATATGAAATAGAGAAGCTATGAAGGAAGGCGCATGGGAGGCATACCAAGTTACCAACGCATACACACACCCCCACAGGCAGAGAGAAAAGCTAATGAAGAGCCGTCCTTTTCTGACAAGCATATGTTGATGTAGTGTGCTGAAATATGAATGAATGCTCACATGGGATTGGACTCGTTCCCCGTATGCAGACTCTGCACAATGGCAACAACAATTTTCATTTTCGTAACGTATATTTTGCACCCACAAAAGAATTGTTCTTTTCTAAAGGAAACAAATCAGAGAAACTCTACGTTGCAAGCCAGAGTCGTCGTCGTCACTTGCGTTGTGTTGCAGTTTCTACTTGTCTTCCCTTGAAGAGGATAAAGCTCATCATGCTTAGCGGCCAACAAAATAATCAACTTATATATAAATGATCAATATGATCCTAGCCAGCCCAGGGGCAGCTTAATTAACATAATACTAGGTCATAGAGCATTCTAATGTTTCTAGCCCATTCTGTTTTCATCGATCAAGAGGTCCAAATCGGTGATTTATGTTGGTGTTTAATGATTCTTTTTCTTTTAGAGGACATGCAGAATCGACCTCAGTACCTTACAATATAAAACAAACAAAGAAAAGCCGTATTTTAATATCACCGGAATTGCGCATTAGCTGTATCCATGACATTAATTAAGCGGCAATCCAAGAAAAATCAAAACACATATTATAATGTTTCCAAAAAGGAGCTCAAATGTCAAGTCGCCGGAACCGTATGTTCATTGGGAGCGGTTAGAGAGCGTCCAAATAAACTAAAAGTAAGAGCAAAGTATTCCTATTTCAAGTTAAACAGCACCAAAACATTTAGGTATTGTTTAGTTGTTAGAAGGAAATATAATGAAATTTAGTTGAAAAATAAAAATAAGATAATTAAAATGTAAATAGGTGAATCACATTCATAAAGAATGATACATGAAATTGAAAATTATAATTCATAAAATTTTTAAATGATGTGTTGATTTTTACATTTATAATATATAATATTGAATTTTATTATATTTATTATGAGGGAGTAATTATTTAATTAGTTTTTATTTTTATTTTTTTAATCTATTAGATTGTAACCAAACCTTAAAAAATGAGTAACAGAATGAATGGGCATGGAATCTGATAGAACACTGAACATTGGAGCAGTGTTCAGTCGCTTTGAGCCAGAGCTGAGGGGAGAAATCACATGTTTCCTCGTTGTTTAACCATGGAGGGCGAGCCTGCATTTCTCAGGCTTTAAGTTTCAAGTCACTTTTAACGACATGAATATTTAATATACTATGATCTAAAATAAAAAGAAACTTCACGTGAATAAAAACATTACAACGTGAGGGGTGTCCTATATTACATTCCTATCTCATACTCTCCCCATATTTTAAGAAATGAGACTATACTTGACATTAACAGAAAGCAACGAAAGCAGCGCAGAAATTAGGGAAGCTATGTTAGTTGGGAGGGAGAAAATGACAGTAAAGAGGCGGATTTTGAGGGCAATGAAACCGATAAACAAGGCGGATGCGTGATAGACTCATTACTTTGCTAGTCTTGAAGTTCATGTATCTCCAGCTGACCATAAGCCTCTTTTTTAATTTTTTTAATATGTTTTAACATAAGCTTAACTGCAAAATCAATGCTTTTTTTTTTTTTAATGCTTCGGATCTCGCATCCTATGCAGATCGATTTCACCCATTCACGATTCATGTAATGTTTTTGTCCTTCATCATTAAAATTTCTTTCATTTGGAGTCTTCAAAATGATTTTTCCGTTTCAAAAAGCTGGAGTGCAAAAATTCTCCTTCATTTTGTTAAGAGGCAAACAAGAGAAAGGGAGTTATCTCTCCACCGTTTTACATTTTCTGTAACTAAATAAGGATGCATTTTCCCTCGTTCCTCCCAGCCAAACAGTAGTGGTGCTTACGTGGAGGTGATGTGAGCGTGAAGCGTATAAAAAGGAAAGAAAAGGAGTGCGTGTGAGAGGGTGGTCCCTGAAAAAGGAAAAGGGCACGGAGTGGGTGGCCTCTCGCATGAAAAAGAGCTTTGTTTTGGATTTGATTCCCCCTCCCTTCACTCTGTCTCTTGCTCTTCATTTTATTTGCAAATCACTCCCTCATTACCCACATCCCTTTCACATTTGCCTCCTCCTCCAAACTAATTTCAACATCATCACTGCCACTCCTTCCTACTCTCCCTTCAATGCCCTTTATCGTGCATGCTATGAAAATAAAGAGAAGGCGATCGGCAAGACAAGAAGAATTTTAAGAGGAAATAATAGAGTATATTTTATTCACTTGAATGCACAATATTTTGTACATGAATAAAGAAGAATATAATATTATAGTATGTACTAGACATTAACTATGAGAAATTCCTTCAAAGTCATTTCATGATGAGGTTATGGGGGATGAAAGATCCCAAACATTAAGAATTATGGACATCCACTTATATGATCATGTAATATTTATAATGATGCACATTTTGATGGGTCCCACAAGTGCTCAAGATTAATGTAGTAATAAAACCCTTGAATATTCCAAAAATCATACTCAAGGAAAAGCAGTTATCTTTATTGTTTTAACAACATAAATGATAATAATTAAAGATGTTTTTTAAAGGGAATTAATTAAAATTGAGGTAAACAAACACAATAATCAAATGGTGATCTAATCAATTAATGAACGCTGGGAATCAAGTTTTATTTACAAGGATTCTCTACTCTTTACCCAAATGAGATTTTTGAACAATTTAAGAGACAAACGCCACTAAGTTATCTTAGCTATCTCTCGATAAATTAAAGTGTGCCTATTAGAGTCACATTTGCTTTTGCTAAATCCTAAAACCTTTAATTAAACTCATTGAGCTATGATCATAGCCACCATAAACACTTAGATTATCTCTAGTCCAATTATGTATGTATATTCTCTTAAATTTAAATTCACTCTTCTCCTTTCAGTGCATCAAGTGAATCCACAAATAGAAAGTAAGGTGGCCAGCTAAACATTCCACAATAAAAGTAAAGAGAACAGATAATAATTGCATTAAACCATAAAAACTAGTCTTTTAACATCAATAAGAATTAAAAAAAACACAACAAGTAAAATGTAAGTTTATCCCAATCAAGTTACACCTTACCCTGACACGAGATTTAGCAACACATAATCAAATTAGAACTAACAAATCCCATGAGAAAAGACATCAACATCAGATCAAAGTAAAGGAAAAGGAATAGAAAAGCAACTCCTTGTTCAAAATTGTGAAGCTCTCGCTCCATATCTGACCGTCTCTTCCTCATATTGGATGCTCTCCTAATAACTCTAGCTATTCCTTTTATGTGTTTTCTATTAAGTTTTTGTGGCAACTTCGCTCAGAATCCCATCTCTCCTTCTAACATCAACCTTAAGTTTTGCCTTTACGTTTTAATAATGTGCTGCCATGTGTTTTTGCCATCAACCGTGGATGGTCATGGCTAGTTGTTTTCCCAACTATGGATGATTATGAACGATTAGCTCCTCTTACCACGACCTTCATTTGAAGACAGCTGAAGACTTCCTTTGTCTTTTGATTGTAGATGGCTATGATTCATGTTGTCTATAGCCGTGAATGATTTTGTATAGAAGGCTCTTGCTTGCTTCAAAGGTCTTCATTCACGAACAATGTTGATCCATTTAGCTTTAAGCAGCGGACGGTTGTCCTACTTCAAGCCTATTTCGGGTTCTTGACCTAATGTACTCCACTTTGTACTTTATTGTTTCCCATTTCAATTTCTTTCCTCCTAATTTTCATAGACGAGCCACATGTTGTGAGACAACATAACACGATTCCTTTAATTTTAATGCCATAATAGTTAAATTTCCTGAGCAAAAAGTGCCAAAATATAATTGAAATGGTGGCTAATCACATGTGTTTTGGAAACAATTTTATTTAAAATATGATTAGATATTAAGTGTGGACACATATCCCAATAATAATTCAAGATTTGATTCATCACATTATATATTTATGATGGATTATTCATTTTGGGTTGACTTAATCCTAATTGGTCACTTCTACTTCAAATGGTAAATGTATGCTTTGAATATTAAAAAAAAAGTGAAGGTGCATATTTGGTCAAAAATTATTTTTCGAGGAACATCTGGTAACTTAAACTATCAGATAGTGCAAAATAAATTATAAACTTTTAAAAACATAGCATCCAGTAGCCCGCCGTTAATTTAAGTTAACGAACGTTATATGAGGCCCACAGTGACACATGGCACAACATAGACGCAACACGTCAACATGGTAATGATGCAAATTTAGCTACGAACTATTTTTTGAAGAGTGCTAGGTAGCCTTTACTATAAAAAAACGGATCATCCAACACCTTCTCCTCAATTTTAAACAAACACCATTTATTTTCACACTTATGAGGCCCAAAAAGCATTAATCTCTCCAATCTTACTTTTATTCTCAACATAAGCTCCAGAAGAAGAGATTCAATGAGTTTTTATCTGAAAACATTTACAAGGATGATGCCAATGAAGTAGAAGCTTGATTTTACTATGCATGAAAAAAGCTTGATTCTAACTTAATTTAGTCATGAATTATTTTTTCTATTTTGTTAGCGCCATCTTTATGAATATCTTTAAATAAGAACTCTTTGAACCTCTTCTTCTCGAGTTGAAATTGAGAACGAAAGCAAGGAAATGTAGATATTAATGCTTTATGGGTCTCATAAGTATGAAAATAAATAATGTTTGGTCAAAATTGAGGGGAAGATATTGGATGATCCGTTCTTTTATAGTAGAAGCTACCCAGCGCTCTTCAAAAAATAGTTTGTGGCTAAATTTGTACCTTTACCATGCTGACGTGTCGTGCCTATGTTGTGCCACATGTCATTATGGACCTCACATAATGTCCATTAGCTTAAGTTAATGGCAGGCTACTGGATGCTCCGTTTTTAAAAGTTTGTGATTTATTTTATAATATTTAATATTTTAAGCTAACAGATGTTCCTCAGAAAATAATGTGTGACTAAATTTACTACTTTTTCCTTAAAAAAAATGTTTGATGTTTGCTTCTGCAGCCTAGGTAGTTTAGCTGTTCCCTGTTATCTACTGGAGTCACCCAACATATACTCACTTTTATTCTAACCTACTCATTCTTTTACACAAGATCAGAAATAGACTTCATTAAAAGTCAACCTTTATTTGGTGACAATACATACATCAACATACCAGCTGAATTATGTCTAAACCTACACATAAATATAGTACATACTGTCTGTATGCCACCTTCCCATCCCTTCATCCTCCCAAAAGCCTTTCAACTTTTCACATGCTCTTCTTGTAACATTGCATTATTCAGAAAACAATAAAAACTACAACCAACCTTTTAGCACTCTTGGAGGGGAATGCATTTCTCAACTATTATTTGCCAAGTCACACGGTTCATCAGATATACATTGTTTACGCTTTTTGCGGAAGACGTGGGTATACGGTTAGAGCCGATAAAGAGAGGTTGCCAATCCCAATGGACACAGTCATATATCCTTTATACCACATTTGACTCGAAAATTATCAAATCACACACACACAAACAACACACACATATTAACACAATAATTAGTGGCCACCTTAACCCGGGGAAAAAAAAAAGCTTTTCATATGATTTCCCATTGCGAACGAAAAAAAACTTAAAAGGGAAAATCAATACAAAGCCACACCCTAAATAAAACAATAGACAAAGCGAGCTCGGAGCCTCTAAACACTCTCCCTCTCCCTGTACAGCCTGTAAATTGTTTGTTAGTGAGCTAAAATAAAATGCCTCACAAGCAGTCAAAACGACCAACCCCACTACACAAAATTTAAAAAACGACGGGGGTGCCGAAAACACGAAACGACAAACGAAGATTCCAGATCATCAGCCTACCAAATCCTGCACATGGTTTAGTTCCTTCCTCAACCGTTGAGAGAAAAGCCTGCAAGCGTCCATGCTCAGATCAACGGCTGCCGCTAACGCCACAAACGCCGCTGCGTCCTCCGTGCAATTCACGTGCGGCACGCTCACCTCCACCGTAGGCTTGCTGCACCTTCCCTCACCCTCCACGCTCCCCGACATCACGAACCCTCTGTACATGCAATACGGCCACAAACCGTATCCGAAATCGCCGCTGCTCCTCGGGCTGCACGCCGGAGACGTCGAGTTTCCCGGGGTAGCGCGGCCGTTCGAGCTGCCACTGCCAAGGTCGATTATGAACTTTCCTCCTTTCTTTGAGCTCAATGTGGACTCGGCGAGGACGATACCGGCGGCCCCAACGGCGCCGTTAGTGTCTGGCATAAGTTCGAATCTATAGCCTAGGCCGTCGGCGCTACCACGCTCGCGCCAAGCTTCGAGTCTTCCCCAAGGCTTCCATGTACCATCGCCTGGCCGAAGAATAAGCCATGAGCCAGGGTTCGAACGGCTGACTCGGTCTGAACCGGGAGAGGCGACGAACGGCATGACCATGGACGCGGCAGCCACCGGCGACCCCGAGAGATCGTGAACCGTAATAGACCATCCCTTTCGTTCTTTACCAGGCCGCTCTCGCTCGCTTCCGAACGAGGTTAACCAGCTTCTAGAGCTGCCCGGGTCTAACTGTAAAGATCTGTACACCAAAAGAGCACCGCGAGTATTAGAGAACAGATCAAACGGTGAGCCCATGAAGCACCACTAAATTATTAGACTGTCTCCATAATTATGCACTCGAAATTCGTGTAAGCTTGAAGCAACAGTTTCCGATTTTAGGAAGACAAGGTCTATCTTTAGCTTTCAATTTAGTCCGAAAGAAAGAGTGAAGCATACGAAATGTGTACCCCTACGAGCTTTTCCGTACTGTGGTTATGAACTTTACGCTTAGACGGATACCTATTACAGTGGTAACAAACTATGCAATCCAATATTGACACCGTGGTGCGGCCAATCTACGCTAATTTTCGGGATCAAATAGAAACTACTAACAAGGCGTGCCAATGTGAAGAGGCCGAGGGCAATCAAAGGAAAACTAACCTGGAACGCTGGTTCCGGTCACCGGTGTTCCTAAAACTGAATTTGCACGAGAAGACGGGCTGCCTAATGTTGCCTTGGATCTGGAAAACCTGAGGACTGCACTCGGGCTCGCCATCGAACTGAAAAACGAATCTGGGATCGGGTTCGGCCCTGACATTCAAATGAAACTGGGCATAAGAGCCCTTGGTTTCCCTGCCCACCACAACCCAGCCGTTATGGAAGACAGCAGCCTTGGTCTCCGTTCCCGCAAGATCCAGGGGCACGGACACCCGCCCCAAGGGCTTGCCCAAGTTGACCCCACAAGTGGAGCCCCTGCGGCCAGTGTAAATGGAGATTTTGAGGCAGGGCCTGGCGGCGAAGAAGGATTTAGCGGCGAGGCGGTCGAGCTCGGACTTGGTGAGGTGAAAGGTGGCGGCGACCTGTAGGACATGGGAGTCGGGGAAAGTGTGGTCGGAAGGAAGGAAGGGGACGAGGGCGGATTGAAGAGGGAAATTCTTGAGTCTGATCTTGCAGTAGCAGGGAGAGGAGGAGGGATGGACGAGGGAAGGAGCGGGCTTGGAAGCGACAGGAACCTTGAGGGCGAGATTAGAGACGGTGAGGCGCACGAAAGGGCAAGGATCCATGAGGGCAAAGAAATGTAATGAGGAAGGAGGGAAGGTCAGGAAAGGGCGGGGAGGGAGAGAAGATCCGGCGGAGTGCAATGTGCAGAGAGGGAAGGAGGAAGGAGGGGGATCATGGAGGAGGGGAGAAACAGAGCAAGTAGTGTTTTGGTGAGAGAGGGCGAAACAGAAAGGGAAAGTCTATATTTGCGAAACGGGGGAGAGAAACCGAGGTTGGAGTACAGCTGGATACAGGGTGTCACCAGGGGCAGCGGAACCGAAGTTGGACAACCGCTCTTTCTTTCTACTGCTAATTATGCGTGGCCCCCACTCTCTTGGATGAGCAGCACACCCTGTTGTTGCTGTACACTGAAATTATGTTGTTTAATCCTCATTTTTTATATATTTCGTACGGTTTCTCTGACGGAATTGCCCTTGGGAATGTGCGTGCGTGAGGGGGGTCTCTGGCGCACGTGGAGGTGGCATGCCAAGTTTTGGTGAAATGGAAGGGGCAAAGCAGAATTTTGAAATAGGCGGGGAGGCCACAGGGGATCAGCAACGGGTTGGGGTGATGGCGGGAAGCATGTCACCTAAACAACTACGATATGGGGCTGCCCCTGCTTACCGGTTTCATAAATAATCAATCACGTGTCACCCTCACGTCACTCCGAAACACTTTTGGTTTCCTGAGGTTTTTTTCACCACGTCTAAATAGTACATTATATTTTTTTGCCAACTAAAAAAGTACATTATTTATCCTGCCTCTCTGCGTGATAGTAGGACTGAGGATTTGTGCTCATTCACTGGTGAACAAGATAATACGATTGGAGAGGAGATCATCGACAAAACACCTCCTTCGCAATGCATTCATCTTGGCGTGTTGGGATTTGAATAGGACTGTAGGAGTAAACTAACCCCTCGGTGTCAATTTATCCTATTTTTTTCACCCCATGCCTTGCTTTATAATAATAATAATAATAATGAGGAAAAGCTTGCCTCCGACTCCGACTGCTTCATCATGTGCTGCTATTTATATCTGAGCATGCATCACCGTGAAAATTTTCCGTAACAACTTGTGTTAAACAGCACATCAGATTTTTGGGCGGTAAAATTATAAAAGAAAACATTCATCCGATGTTGAAAATATTAAAGAATGAATGAAATGCCCGTTGTATTTCACTTCACTGATCATTTTGTCAACGAAAACGTTCAAGAGGTTGTAATTGAAACTTGTCCTTGCTCTTAACTGTAACTGTTGGGTGCTTGGGATCAACCCAGTGGGCTTGTACTAAGACAGCTCGTTTGATTTGGGGCCAATTTCAAGGAAAATTCAAATACCATTTCTCCTTCACATTCGTTTATCTCATACCACACAGTCTAGCCATTCATCTAGCTTTCAAGAGCTCAAATAAAATTGCTCCTATAAGGTTGTTTCTCAATATTAAAAACAAAAAAACAAACTCATAGTTCTAAATTCTTGACCGCTTCTATACCATTCTTAAATTGTCAATTATGCCTATCTTTTTCTTCAAAGAATCTAAAGAAAAAAACATTATAAACAAGTTTCGCATCAAGTAATTAAAAATTAAGTTAAAATATGCGAAAGTCGAGATGGGTTTAACCATGCAACTTAGACTATCTTGATTAAATAAACAATTATCAAGCACCATTAATAAAAAAAATTAATCGTAGAAAGAAAATAAAAAAAGAAAAAAGAGCACAAAATTCAATGTGGAAAACACATACAAAAAAGAGGAGAAATAAGAGAAATAAGAGGGTGGGGGGGTAAAAATTATGGGCATGAGATAACTCAAAAGGTACAAACTCAAATAAAAAGGAAAAGAAAAAAGACGGAGGATTTAGTAAAAAGGCCTCAAAAAATAAAAAGTCTGGGTAAGATGGGAAAAAATAGTAGAGATAATAGTAAAAAAATTTAGAGAATTGATTAGAATATACAAAACTTGCTAACAAATCTATCAATAAAGATTAGGCCAACCTTTATAAACTCGACTATTGAGGGTTCAAATTTTTTTACCATAAAATCATTACTTTTCTCAAATCCTATACGTATTAACAAGGATCAGGGTCAATTCTTTTTTTTTTTTGGCTTTTTAAAAAACTTGAATTTTTAATTATACTAATACATGTATAAATTACAAAGCAATTTAACAAAAAATATAAAAAAAGAATAAACTTGGAGGGTAATTAAAATAATGCGGATCCCAAAATATTATATAAATCACACAAGTTTAAATTGTCTTATTACCTAGAATCCATTATCTAATCCTTGTCATTAACTTTCATTATTAAAAAATATTATGTCATTGAAGGAGAAGTTTGCTTGGAGAAAGTGGTGCAATTTCACCAACCCTGCCAACTTTATTTTCATGGCTTTGAATAATTTTTTTAAAAATTATATTATTTACATATATAAATTAAAATAACTTTTTTAAAAAATATTATACAATGTTACGGGCTAGTATAAGCATAAAGTCTAAAAATCCTTTGTATATCAAAATTATGTAGAGTGTTGAGCCTAGTTCTGAAAATACACAGGGCCTATCAGAACAGTCTACCCTAACCAGGTCTCATTGATGGCTTTCCTTGCAAACTTTCTTATTAAGATGTTGAAGTTATTTTAATGAGGTGGATAGCAAACTGCATACAAGAACTAGAGTTCAAAAAAATAAACAGGCTCAATTTTAAAAGATTTAGTTTTTAAAAACTTGAGCCTTAAAGTTTAATTTCTTATTTTTAACCCTATTTGTCAAGCCTGATCCTTATGTAAAAGGCTCAAGGTCAGGCCCACAAACCCTATTTTAAAATATAAAAAAAGTTAAAATAAAATTAAGCATTATAAATTCATTAAAATATTTTAAAATTTTTAAAAAATTAAACTCCTCATAATTTTTTAAAAATTAAACAACACACATTTAGAAGTCTAGTAATAAAATTTAAATCTTGGTTAAAAGATATTTTTTTTATAAATACACAAACATAATAATTATAGAAAAATAAAAAATTTTATAAATTTTATCCTATACACTAATATATATTAAATTATATTAAATTAGTCTTAGAATAAATTAAAATTAATAATAATATAATGCACGTAGGATTAGGTGAGTATATCATTGATTTCAAACACGTGTTTCACTAATAATAATAATAATAATAATAATAATAATAATAATAATAATAATAATAATAATAATATAATAGGATTTAAAATGTAGCCCGGACCCAAGCCTCTTTTTACAGGACTTATCAAGGCCAAGTCTTCAAAGCTTGATTACGTAAAAAAATTTATTTTTAAAGCCCGAACCTTTATTTAAATTATGAGTGTTCATGAGATGGGACCAGACCGGGACACCCTCGTCCTATGTCCCATCTTGAAAAAAATTGGGACTGAATTTTGGTCCCTTGTTACATCCTGTCTCAAAAATCGTCTTGTCTGGTTAGAAGTCAGGACGAGACTGAGATAAGATTGAGATGTCCCACCATCCCGATAAATTGAATAATATTGGAGAAAGATCTGAATAATAACGTTCATTAAAAATTTAAATCATATAATTTATTAAGTTTAAAATCAAAACAACATAAGTACATATCCACAATAATTTAAAGTCAATTATTTAATTATATCAATCACAACTACACTTTATAATAGCAAATATAAGTGATTTTTAGGTTATAAGAGTAGTAACAATAGGCAAGTCAAGCACAATATCAAATCATTATTCTTCTTATTTATTGGAGATGTGCTAAGCTGATTATTCTTCTAAAAATAAAGTAAGAAATATGTTATAAATAAAAATTATTAAATAGATAGATATGAGAATAAATTATATTAATATAATTAACATATTATAAAAAATATTATCATGTTTACTCAATGTCATTAAAATTATTAATAAAAAAATTAGTTTTAAATAACTGCAAGTATTGAAATTATAATTAATATAATTAATATAATATAAATTATATTAATATAATTAATATATTTAAAATAAAAAATAATGTATATATAATATTTGAGACGGGACGGGACATCCTGATAGTAATCCCGTGTCTCGTCTCATCTCGTCCCGAACATTTTTTCTGTCCTGTCCTGTTTCGATTATTTTCAGGCTGGGACAAGACCCATCTTGATATGATCAGGACAATATCGGACCAATCAGGACGAGTCCAAATTGAACACCTTAGTTTAAATAGGGCCTTTAAGCTTGACTCTTTAGGCCCGACCTTTATTCCCGATTCTAACAAGAATGCGTTGGGAAAGTGAAGATCAATACTCATCTATTTTTTTTTATAAGTCATTTTTACCAACTTCATCAATATTAATATAAAAAATAAAAGAGTATAAAATTTTGAATATGTCACTGTATAAAAATTTTAAAAAGTGATAGTATGTTATTTTTTCTCTCATAAAAAATAATATTAATTTTTTTAAATATTATATTATAACTTATAAATAAGATTAAATAAATTTTCTGAAATGTTAAGCGTGGATTTATAAATGAGACTTTTGAATCCGCGCTGGATTCTCTCAAATCTGCTGATATTCCAATACTTACAATATCACGGAGAGGCTGACATGCACGACCAGGCATGCTATTCAGCGCCAGATGCTCTATTTTTTTTTTTTGTGGAATAAAAATGGGACTAAATATTACCCCCCCCCTCCAAAAAAAAAAAAAGACTCAAATCAAAAGAAAACAGTCCAACACCTTTCACCACCCGCCTCTCTAAACAGACCTATAAAGGTTGATGTTACTCTATTTAATTTTAAATCAGCTGCCCTGAAAAGCAGAGTTAAAAAAATAGGCAAGCATAACGGACATTAGCTACGTGTTAAATTACCGGCACAACACTACAAATCTTGCATTTGTTTTCCCTTTTTGTCCCGTGCCACTCGTGAAGTGGAAGGCATGTGATGTTAAGATGCTCTGCATAATTAGATGTAGATTTCCTTCTCTTCGCCTCCCAAGTCCACAATATTCAGGCCCCGAGTAGGAAAATATTTTGCAATGTCACAGACAAGAATGAAATGGAATGAGTATAAAAATATTCATCATGCATGAAAAAAATTAAATAATTCATCAGTGTTTGGTAATAAATGTAAAAAAATTACAGCAAATAAATTGTTACGTACTCAACCAAATAAGTAGAAAAGAACTCAAGAATGTAACTGATAAGCTCAATGTATTATTAATCAAACATCCGTCACTGGGAATTACAGAAGTTGCAGGAAGAAATATCAAAATAAAGAGAAATACAGATCAGAAGGACACAGGGGGAAGGCTAAGAGAAAGAAGCAACAGAAAAGAGAAGCACAATCACAATTTTTCTCACCCTCTTTACAAACAATCTCTCCTCGTCTATAGCCCTGGCTTCACATTGTTGAGATGTCTTTTCCATTAGGTTACTAATAACAGCATCATGCAAAGGCACCACCTCCGAAGCCACGTATCCTTCTTGGGTCCCACAAACATCTGGCCAAGTCATGACATAAATAAAAAGCTATCTTCTTTTTTCGGGCAAGCTCGAAAATCAACTATGGGTTTCATGGAGCTCAATAGCATTCTGTGGAAGAAACAGGAAAAAAGGTTTACTTGTACCCACATTCTAAATTATTCGAATCTTGGCAGGCCTTATCTAATGAGGTCAAATTCTACACGCAGTGTCAAACAAATCCTGAAATCCCAACAAAATTTTATTCCAACGACTTCCTTAGAGAAATGGGCTAAAAAAGGCTTTTTTCGGTAAATTAAAAAGGAATTTAGCTGATGTAAAGTGGACACAATATTGATTCAGAAGGCTAGGGCCCATTAACTGGAAGGTCCAATAGGAAGAGAATCTAGTAGGCCTACGATTAGTAACAGGTCGATAAAACGTCAAGCAATTGGAGACCCAAAAGAAGAAGAAAAAGGAGAGCAATGGAGGCTAGTTTGGGAATTTGGGGGAAAAAAATCCAGAGATGATGTTAAAGGATGCAAATGAATTGAAAAAGGATGAGGGAGATCGCGGAGCGAATTGAGAGGTTATCTCAGAGCACCGGAAGTGAAAAGAGTACGAAGATGTCGGTGTCGGCTATATTTGTCTCCAGGTTGTCGACTGCGCCTCAATCCTCGCCGTCGTTCGGAAGAGGCGGCGGCGAGAATTGGAGAAAGGGAAGTGCAAGAGTCGGAATGGAGGGAGATGGGTTGGCGATAGAGTGCTCGTCGAGGCCGAATAAGAAGGCGACGGCGCACCACATGAAGACGAGGCCGAAGAAGACGCAGCCGTGGGATATAAAGCGGAAGCCGACGGCGTACCCTCCGTTGCCGCCGCTGCCTCCTGATTGGACTCTGGTTTCCCCTGCTGCGCCCGAAGTGTCCTCGGATGCACCTCCTACTTCACAACCAGCAACCGCTGGTTAGTCAGTAATCGCATTCTCATTCTTGTGTTTGACATGTTGTATTTAACGCTGCTGCTGCTGCTTGTTATTGCATTTGTGTTTCCCCTTCCCGTTAATTTCTCGCGAGACCCTCTTTTGCATGAGGAAAAAGTTTTATTTACACGCCCACTGTGGCTAGTCGTTACTAATTTAGTTCATAGTTTGTGTGAACGATTGTTTTCTTGGCACTAGCACTAGCTGAGCTCGGTGGGCTAAGTTAATCTTGGGATGGTTTTAATTTTTCAAAGATCCTTTGCCAAGGCAAGTTCCACGGAGGAGACGAATGCTACTGAACAGGAAACTGTAAAGTACATTCCATGGACAAATGGTTAATGAAATTCTGCAAAGCAACTCTCTCCTTCAGCTATTTACAGCTAACAACCGTCAGTAGTACATTTGCAATCCACCTACCTAGTCTCTAGTTAAAGACTCAAGGTCGTTTATGACCCCTAAAAAACGGCTGAAAAAAGTCATATTTCTATTCACCAGAGGAAAAAAGATCGATCTTGTTATCAACATTTGCGGCGGCAATCACGATCACCTTCTTCGAATCGCAGTGCAATAAGTACCGCCCCTTTACATTTCACATTGTGACGGCCTAGTCACGAACATTTAGAAAGAAACACAGGACCATCTGGTGTAAATACTTGCTGATGCAACGAGTCACGCATCGGCACTAATTGTTATTCCCAGTGGCTGCACTAGGTTTCAGTCATAAGATTAGACTAACTGGTGTGCACAGGATCAAGGTGCAGTTCCAAGTTTGCAACACAAGTTCTCATCCTGGAATTTCCACAAGTATCGCGACAAATGGAAAAAAATGTTTATAACTTATATTATATGGTGCCCAAGGTATTGCAGGAATAATTGAGAAATGATTACTTCAAAACCCAGGGAGAAGCAGACCATGTTTTTACCTCTTGGAGGCACTAACACTTCCATAGTGCTTTCTAGCCTGGATTTTTCTTGTACTTTGCAGGAACAAGGCTTAAGAGGAAGTCTGTAAATATGTGTTCGTATTCTGGCATCTTTCCATATCCTGCCCCAAGTTAAAACTATTTTAAGACCATAAAGGGTAGTAGAGAGAACATATATTTTAAGGAAACTTAATAGTTATATCGAATCCCTGTATCAAGCAGGAAAAAGAAAAGGTAAATAGCAAGATCTGGTTTGTATAGGGTAAACGTTTGCACTTGCCAGGGAAGTAGTTTATGTCAATGACGTAATAGGCATCTCTTTTCCCAAGCTCACGTATGATATCCAAGTTGAAAAGGCGGAGGCCCTGGAAGTGATAACCATGACGCACAACGTAAAAAGATTAGTCCTTTCATCAATAACGTGCACCTATCAAACGGATGGATTGCAAAGTTACCAGTCGCCTTCGCAGTTCCTTCGCGAGTCTCTCAAGTAAAGGTCTTGGAGGAAGCTCTGCAGAGAGAGATAATACAAATTAAAAGGAAGGACCAGATATTATGAAATCATGACATGATTAAATGAAGTCTTCTAAATTTTGACACCATGGGTACGCATTATTTCTTCGGATACCTCAGACTCTGTTTACTAACAAACCTTAAAACTAAATCCTTACAATTGTGAATGCATAAAAAATTAGAATGATAGCACCTGGAAGTTTCAAAACTAATAATCATACCCATCCAGATTAGTTTGGGCCCCATTAAGTGCGTACTATTCGAGTAACACAGACCCAAAATACTAGGTGCTCATGCAAAAAAGGAAAAAGAAAAAAGAATTGACGCTAAAATACCCATTCTCTAGTGTTATAAATCGCAAGGTAAAGCTAGATAAGGTTGGTTCTTATCAGGGGTTGGTTCTTTCACCCTCTCATTTTAGGGCAAACAATGCTAAAACCTGTCTGAAAAGACCGTTGGTTGATAAGGTTGAAAATGCTTTATATATAACTTACCAGCAACAATGGGATCCAGATCTGCATCATCTGCAGAAGCTGCAGCACAAGAAACCCTTGGAAAATAATATATGCCATCATCTTTGGAGAGTTGCCGTTCGCAAAAATCAGGCAGGGAAAACCGTCTGACTACCTTAATGGCATCACCAACTACATAGACCTTGAAGAGAACCCCTCCTATAACAGGAGAAAAGGGCAAATGGGTTATCCACGTATTTGGAGCAACTTAAACGTAATAATATCGCTTCATAAATAATTATCTGCTTACCATGGTTAACAAACTCTTGCAGGACAAGAGGAGGTTCTAGTTTTTGAAGAGAATATGCCCCATAAGCAAGGGATAATTCATGGGACTTTGCACTTCCATCAGCAACAAGTGGCTTTGCAACTAGAATGATTTTGAAATTGCACATATAATACGGGAAAATAAAATAAGTTTCAAAAATTCGCTAATCAGGACTTCTGCAAATCGGTTAAGTAGCAACTGAGCCAATCTTGCACACAAAGGATATGTTTTTTGATAAGCACAAAACGGATATTATTGCCTATTGCCTTCCCTATTCTCATGTTTCACTTGGCCTCCACGGTGCCAATAATTTCGCTTGCAATAGACATGGACAGGCTAAATGCATTAGCATCGGCAACATAGACCCCTCAATATTCTTTTTGGTAACAACCCCTCAATATTAATAGAAAGATAAAACATATGCTTACCCAGTGGCAATGTCAGCCCAGCTTTGTTAACCAACTCAGGGATAGAAGATGCATCCTTCTTCACCACTAGCTGCCTAGGAACACATACCTTGCCTGCGTTTTAGTAAATAAGAATATTATTTGGTCAAATTAATTTCACAATTGAGCATACAGATTGTAATTCCAGTTGGCATTCTTTTTCGTTGTTTGAAAAGAGAGGTTACCAAAGGATTCAGAAAGCTTCAATTCATCAACAGCCTGAAGCATGTATTGCCTATTGCGTATATGCTGGATGGCATCAGGAGGATCCAGAACGGTGACATCAGGATGCGACTGCCTATAATCCTACAAATATAGGCAGGAGGTAAAAAAAGATTGTTTATCAATAATTAGACAAAAATGAAACATACAAACTTGCTTCCCAATTGTATGGAATCCTTCATTTTTGTTCAAAACACACCCCGTTTCACACTAGAAAGTTATTTTTATGTCATAACAGAATAGCACCCCAATAGAAACTGCAATTCAGGAAGTCATGAATATTTCACCTGAATAATGCTAAGAGACGAAGGAATAGTGAGTCTAACCATTTATTTGGATAACAAGGACGGGCAGAATAAATTTATAACTCGTGATTTATCAGTGTGTGTGTGTGTGTGTGTAACTCTCGAATAGTTTAATTAAAAGACTGCCGAATAGGATAAGAGTAATAAATTAATTATTCAATAGATTAAAACTTGTTCTTTTTTCTTTCTACTTCAACTGGAAATGGTTTGGGATAATAGGCAGGGTATCAATCATGGAAGCAAGGCAGGAAGAACTAGAGAAAATTTATGAATCTTAAAACATCAGCCAAAATTTGTCTTAAATCTATCCTGCTTCTTCCTGTTCCGGAGTTTAAACCACACTTCCAAAGAAGCATTTCACATCCATATCTTTCCTAACCAATCCTATCGTGCCCTCTTCAAGCATTCTCGGATCTCCCATCTAAATTTCCTCCCTTGCAGAACAAGGGATTTAGATCTCTACTTGGAACTTGGACTAAGCATCACTGAAAGCATCCCATGGATGATGAGGCTAAACACAATTACCCGCATCATGCATATAACGGCAACGTAGACACCTAAATACAAACGGGATGCTTCACAAATGACGGTAACACTAAAAAAAACTGGTTAGTGAAAGATGCGAGATGATGGTCCTAGAATTCCAATATTGCAGTGATGCTGTTTAGTGGATGTACAGCTATGAAAGTAATAAAACACTTTTAATAACTATTTAAAAAAAATAATGTTAGAGCACCAAGTGGTGAAGTGATGCAGACAATCTGACAACCTAAAAGCATAAAATGTCGATTTGCCAAATCACAAAATACTCAAAGTAGTTCTACAGAAAAGCCAACTATAGTAGTAGCACCTGGATCTAGAATTACAGCTAACGCTACAGGCAAATAGAGGATGAGAATACAAAAGGAAATGTGGTGAGGCATCTCTCTCTAAGACAGCAAAATGGGGGACCAAGAATCCCCGAAGCAGTGAACTCCCTCCAAAGAATTTTAAGAAAATATATTTTTTGGAAAGATTTGCAAAAGAAACCTGAACATCTCAGCCAGAGGACCATGAGAGTAGCAACACCATCACTCACTCGAACCCATGAGGCCTCGACCTCAACTACTGGTTCATAATTCATTACGAAAGATAGAGGAAGTGCTCTGCAAGTTATGTCAGACAGTATGTTAAAAAACTGGTCGTTGACCAGCGTTTCTAGTGTTTATTTCATCCCAATCTTAGCACCAGATACATGGAAAAAATACAGCAGCAATAGAGCATAATCATCACGTTTAAAACACTGAATATGGCAGAGTTCTATAGACTTGTAGCAGAAAGGAAAACTGAACCGACCTCAAGAATCCGGCGCCACTCTTTCCCTGCTAACTGCATTCCCCAAAAAATTAAGGGAAAAAAAAAAGAGAGAGAGAAAGACGCAGTAAGCAAAAAGAGCAACAAATCTTTAGAGCCTGTGGTGTGGATTTACACGCAGAAAAATAATATCTAGACTTTTTAGGTGGTGAGCGCACCAGCATCTGGTGAGAAGCAGTAGAAGAAGAACAAAATGCAGGACATTGAGGAAAGAACAATTACAACCTTGTGCAACACAACATCAAAAGGACCTTGATCTGAAAGAGGTCTATTATGATCAATAGCAACAAAGAGTATCCCCTTATTCCTGCACAAAGTTTTGCAGTAATAGTAATCAGTAACTAAGCCAATACCAGAACGTACAGAGGCATATTGCCGACAATTTTATCTCATAGATAAGTACTGGATAGAGTAGCAAACAAAATACGGCAGGGGAAAAAAATTATCTCCTATAAACTTTAGGTTGCAATAGGCAGAAAAATTCCATAGACAAATTTATGAGTCAATGTCGGGAACTTTTTCAATACGGTTCCAGTTCTCCAAAAATCAAATGCTCTTAAAAACAATCGGGAAATAGTAAAATATCTACCAGCAGATGCTAAGAAGATTACATGGTTACTTTTCACTTTCACACGGACCAAACGAAAATGACGTACGTTGTACGAGCATATTCTTAGCAGAAAAGAACTTGCTTTAATATTCGTTCTTCCAAGGGAATGAAACCCTTTGGACATGACATAAGTCACTTTAGAATTTGAAATTAATCAAAAGAAATAATTTAGGAAGAACACAGGCGGAGAATATTTATCATCAGTCCGTCGATATAGGTTTGTATTCATTGATGAATTTTTACCTAGCTAAACCCTCAAGCTTTGGCTGCAAAAAGCTCTTGGTCTTTTTAGAGGTGAGAGCATAGCCAACCACAACCACCCTCTTCTGCGAGGGAAATCCACCATTTACAACCGGACACCATTCATTTTGGGCCAAATTTACGTCCTCTACTTCCTCGACCTCACCTCCATTCCTATTCCTACATGGCAATTCTTCTATCAACCTCATGGGCTTGCTTATCCCTGGAAAAATTTCCAGGTGGTGCCGAAATTCCCCCGGCCTTCCCCCAAAAAAAGAAAAAAGAACCAGAGAGGGCGAAAGAGCGAGAAAGTCGGTCAGAGTGGAAGATCCGTGGAAGAGAAGGCGAAGAGCGAGAGAGGAGGAGAGCCACAGAGAGGTAAAGAAATAGAGAAAGAGAAGAGAGCAGGGATTTTCAGGGGGTGAAGAACGAGTATGATACAACAGAACAAATAACGGTGGGAAAGTGAGGGGTGGAGGGGAGTATAAATAGAGAGGACGGAGGGAGGGATCGGGTGGTGCTGAGCTGTACAGGAGTAAAGATACTGAGCAGTCATCATAATTCCACGCGTTAGAATCACGCTTCGGAGTTGCGTTGTGAGCGTTTTCTGATATGTACGTCTGTCTGCACATGACTCCCCAGTCACGCCCCAAACGTTATCTGCCACGAGGCGCAACTGCAAACAATTCTATTATTGCCGCTTATTTATGCCTGTGCGTTTTCTTGCTTTCCGTTTTGCCCCTGTCCTCCGCATTTATTACGCAGAGGTTATGTTTGGTAGAAAAAAAATGAGAGAGTGGGACTAAAAGTGATATTAGATAATCTCACCTTTTCATATTTGGTGGTACGAAGGAAAGAAAAATTTAATTTCAATACTAATCCCATCTAAATGGGATTACTCAATACTACTACCTCCCATGGTACTGAAAAATCAATACTATAATTGATTATTTTTAGATCAAATTACACCTCATTATCTCTCCATCATCTCCTTCCCTCTGCTCGCCCCTCCTTCATCTCCATGTCACCTCTCCGTCCTTGCCCTCCTTTCAGAGCGAGCAACACTGGCGTTTCCTCTGTCATTACCAGTCTCTCGACCGACATCATTATCAGATTTGTAGGGAGAAGGAGGACGTTGAAGATGAGAGAAGGAGAAGAACAATTGACAACCTCATCTACATAATTAGTCTGAGCTCGAGCTATGGCCACTAGATCTTGCCATCATCGTTGACTTTGCCGTCATCTACATCTTCGTCGTTCTCATTTTTTAGTTCAAACCAGAAGGAAAAAAAAAAACAAAAGAGAGGGCGGCAATGAGGTTCTCTTGTGTAGCCATGAGTATTCTTTTTGGGGGAGAAGAGCAACAAGAAGAAGAAAGAAGAGGAAGTAGACGACGTGGATAACTAGTGGAAGCATTTCTTCTGTGGCCATAGATGTTCTATTTTAGGGGGAGGGAAGTGTTCTGATGATAATGACGTAAATATTCAATTTATATTTTTTGTGGGGTAATATAGTATTTTTATATTTTTATTTAATTATGAAATAAAATAAAATTAAATATTTTCTTATAATATTACTCCACACCAAACATAATTTTAAAACTTTATTCTCACTCTCAATCCCAATCTCAATCTCTTTAAATTGAAGTTTGTGTACCAAATAGGGCCAAAGGTGTCAACAAGTTTTGTGCTAGTAATCTTGCGGTGGCATTCAATACTAAATACGAGCATATTTTCTAATAAAATTTATTGGTTTATCATACAAGGCATTAATCTCTGTCAGACCCAACCCTATTGATAAAAATAAAAATAAGAATAAGTTGCCACTCATAATTTTTAACATTCATTTGAATTATTAGTTAATTCTCATAAAATGTATAAAAATCAATTGTTTCATTTTGTACAAATAATTAGTATTTATTTATAAAAATTTCAGAATATAAATATAACACACACACACACCCTAAAATATTATAAGAAACTAGACTAGAAGGTAGGAGTTGGTGTGTTATCTTTACGAAAAAGGGCTTTTTATAAGCTAAATATAATAGATATTTTTTTTGTTTAAAAATATAAAATATTTTTTATCAAATCTTATTTCTCAATAAAATAGTTACCTGCTTTCCAACCAACCGTGTCTTTTTATATTTATTTTTATTAAACACCCTATAACAAATATAAAGTCATTATCAATAGGGGCACTTTTAGAAAAAAGATAATAATTATATCTCAATAGATTAAAAATGTCTTACATTTTAACATTCAACTCTTTAAAAAATGTCTTATATTTTTTAATGGAGGGAGTAGTCATTTTAAAATTAAAATACATCTGTGGGGGAGTCTTTACTTTTAAATTTAGGGATGTTTCATTCACTTTTTTCATGCTTAAATTTTAAAATCTAGTGTCCCACTGATTATAAAAAATAAATGATATTATTGATTATTTCAAGTTTTATATTTAAACTAATAACTTCAAAATTTGAATAAAAATTACACAGGTCGTAAAAATTTTCATCCGGTTAGTCAGGTCGCATTTGTCCTTTATAAGAACTAACATGCGATGCATGCATGTCAGGTGAAAATAATGTTTTTAATTATGTTTAATTTAATGACACGTGAAAGCTTGATAAAATATAATGGAAATGCTACATGTGATCTGAAAGACTGAAACACACACAAAAACAGTAAAGATATGAGCACTTGAGGTGAGCGTGGACTGCCAGTTCTGCCACCAATTCACCAAAAACTATAATCCTGCAAAAAGCATCTCAATAAATTAAGGCAGAGTCCTCCTTCAAATTATTCAATCCTTTGCATGATATATAGATATGGGATTTGATGATAGTCAAATGTGACAGCACTTGAATAAAAAATGATAGAAATTGCGTGCGAGCGGTGTGCTCTTTTTCTTCTTCTTTTTGCATTTTTTCGTGCACTATAATAAAAAAAATTTGATTCCCTGCAAATATCTTTTTATTAAAAATAATTATGTTTAAATTATTGTTGAATAATTTTTAAATAAAGATTTAAATTTTGATTCGTCTTTTTATTAATAATTAGTTTTTTCTGTTAAGCTCAAATAATCAAAATTAACGTTATGCCGAACATGCCTGCTACGCCATCACCGGCTTTTATTTTATTTTATTTTATTATTATTATTATTATTTTTACCAACATCACTTGCATATCTTTAAAAACGTGTCCCGTGTGCGTATTTTCCTCAAAGAGATTTGAGCTTGATTCAAAAGTCAAAACACTTTTAAAGTTTATTATCATTTACCATTTCTTGTTAGTTAAATTGCAATATTTCTATTCAAAATTATAGAATGTAAAAATATTTGTAATTAAATAAATTAAATTTAAAAAATTAAATACACGATGCACCCCCCTGTAAGATTATTTAAATCGTTCAAGATTAGTCATGCACTAACATTATGCCAAAAAAAAAAATCTTATCACATTATATACGATTTTACTTAATTTCAAATTATACAGGTCTAACCTTCCTTCTTTTTGTACTAAGGGTCGCATGCGAATATTATTATATATTATTATTTAAAAAAACTACAAATGAAGACAAACTTAGGGAAAATAACAAAGCAAGATAAGTTAATTAATGCAAGCATAAGCTTATCCAAAAACATACTTATAACAAATCTCCCAATCTCTCGTAAGTGGACTTATGGTACCCTTTACAATGTTAAAAGCAAGCTGACTTCTGTCATGAAGGGCAGAGCCCAGAGACATGAATACAATATTCTAGGATTTGAAAAATCCCAATCTTCCTATAGGTTATAGGCTAGATCAATAATATTGTAGGCTAAAATATATATTTAATTTTTTAATTTATAAAGCATTTTTTAATCTTCTAACCCTAATGTCATTAATTTAAAATAATTATTTTTTATATTAATAAATTTAAATTAAAAAAATTAAATTCAATATGTCTATTATGTGAATGTGTTGTTAATATTTAAATGTTTAATATATAAAACTTTTGTTGATGAAATTAAATGTGTTAGGATTAAAGGACTAATAATATACTTTTTAAATTTAAGGGACCAAAATAAAACCTTATATAAAATTAAAAAATTAAATATTTAATTACCCTAATTTAATTTCTTCGTGAATTTGCATTTTTCACAGATGCTGTTTTAATCTCGAAAAAGATCCCCCCAAGCTGAGTAGCTTTTGCCAGCTAGATTAATATCAGACCTAATCCATCATATATTGGGTTTCCTACATCTTAAATTATTGATTAACTTGCTTTTCTCTTGCTTGTCTTTTAATCTCTCAATTCTCCTATATTCAGGGGATGTGACTAACATAATACTATTACTTAAAAACAAATTATTAATAAAATCTTAATCTCCGCAGAGAGAATTATAAGTTGTAAGTGTGTGTGCTGTATATGTGTAATCAAACTTCCATGCATGCCCCATAGATTTTTGTCTTATTGCTAAGAGGTGCTCCGAAGGGATCGTTATCACATAGGCAAAAAGACAGAACGAGATATGGAGCCCAGTGCATGGATGTGGTTTGTACATTAAAAAGAACACAGAGATATTTTTTTCAGAAAGAAAACAAACAGTTGAAAAGCTTTGTTGAATTAAATATCACAATGAAATGGTAATAATTAATGATGAATTTAAAAAATAAAAATTAAAAAGGAGGGGGTTTTCAAGGACAGTCACCAGTCGATCGCGTATTAAGATAAAACGACCCATGTTGCTGGTCAAGAGAACATGAGATTATTTAAACACAAGATTCTAAAAGCCCCACGACCACGCAGCAGTGCAGCTGTTATGTTTCATACATAAACGACGAGAAATTTGAAACTAAACCTAATTAATTAAAAAGGCGAATTGCATGGGAATTTTAAATAATCAGCCTTTTCAAAGCCATGGTTTTATTATGAATTGGATAAGCACTTCTCCGTAATTGCCTTATCATTGTATATTATATAAGCTTCGATCTCGTGATCTACTTTAGATATATAAATGCTTAATCAAAGTGGTATTAGTTATGGTGTGCCTGTCCCATGGAAATATTCCACATTTTTCTTCCTTTTCATGGATTGTTTATGTAAACAATGGCACATGTCGTGAAATTGTCTTCGACATTGTCACTTTCTCTTTTTTTATGTGAATATACAAACGGCAAATAGCAAATTAGAATCAATAGAGAAATGTTGCCTGGATCAAAAGAAATGTTGCGGCTTAATTACTACTTTTTATTTATTAATTTTGGTGCTCATCGATCGTTGCCTTTAAAGTAATAGAGGAATATATCTACTAACTGGAAAGACAGCAAACAAAGATCTAAAATCTGATATGAATATGACATATGTGTGGAAGTTGAAGACGCGGATAAGCACGTTTGGGTTTAGCACGAGAATAAAATATGTAGTCTAGTTTTCACTTTGTTAAAAGTTTGCTTATAAAAAAAAATCATTTGTTAAAAGTTAACTTAATTGGTAAATATTAGCATAGCATATTTGATTTAATTTTCGGAACTGCTTTTAGAAAAAGTTATCAATTCCTTCCTTTTTATCAAAAAAAAGCTATTTTGACTTCCCTGCAAATGTGAAAACCGAGCAGGAATTACAACAAAATTTATATTTAGATACAGTTTTTTTTTCACAAAAA